AGAGTAAATGAGATGCCTTGTAACTTATAAGTAAACAAACTATGTGCATAATTATAAAACTTAAGACAGCGTTTACTGACCTTTTTTAGGTCAAATCAACTTGTTGCTTTTAAGGCAATGGCTTTACTTTTAAAGTAAAGAAACAAATCGCTCTTTATATACACTTGGTGTCGTTAAAACGTTGAACCCATTTCACGACAGTTATGCAAGTAGCCAAGTTAGAGTGGCATCTAGATAACTTCAAACTTATTTCAGCTCTTTAGGTATAATCAAATGAGCAAAGATATTAGTGATAATGCTGCTGGAAGACAAAGACTGTTTATGTGTTAATTTGCTTATCATACAGATACCAGTTGAAGGTTGCCATGTATGTCTATTTGCAGTTCAAACTCTATAATTTAATAAGTATCCCTTTGAGCTATTTTCTTTGAAGGTATACTGCAACAGTTATGCTTCCTTGACTAATAATTATATGGTAGACGCTGAAGAATCTCACCCGTTTTGACACAAATGCCAAGAAACGATTTGACTGTCTTAAGCTGTTTAGACATTGGAAACCGAAAAATGTAGTCTATTTGGTTTAGGGCTTTTTGTTTTTCATTTATAAGTGCTTGTTTGTGTGTTTAGACCAGTTTAACCTGTTCAGTACCCTGGAAACAGTGGAGCATGACAACTGAAGCTGAGCTCACTGAATGATAATGGGGGTGGATTTCCATAGAATTGGCACATGCTGTGTGTGGTACCGTGAGTCAAGATGTCAAATAGTTGAAAATAGGAGTCAAATCTGTGTCTTAGCCTTGCTGTTGTCCTAAAATGCTACATACACCATTGACCCTTTGGGCCAAAAATCACCCACCTTCACTAAACCTCTAATATAAAGCATGTAGCGTCCTGGTTAAAACATGACTAAGTCTTTCACTGATGGTTCACGATTAATTTATTGGTCACACTCTGTAGAATTAGTATGTATTATTTCATCATTAATCAGCATAAAAACTAGAGAGAAAATAAACAAAAAACAAACACAAATGAATCCCGAAAGTTAAAACATTAAGCCAACATCAACAATCAAACATTAATCCTAAACAAATAAACCAAATTACCTAATTTTTCCCTCAAACCAGGAGCTATAACTCATGAAGGAGGAATCCGTGAAGCAACCATATACCTGTGCCCCTTTTACCGTGTTTCACCTAGCATTCCATACTTTGTTTTCATTCATTACTAAACGCAATATATACATGCGGAAGGCTCCGCAATTTTGACGTCATAATTAAAGTCCCCAAACAACTTAATTCATTCAACAAATCAAACCGTATCCAAAATACAACAAAACATAAAAAAAATCACACATTATTTCAAGTTTTTTTTACACTCAAATCTGTTTTGCATGAAGAAACGACTTGATCCTCATCACAAACTCTGTTTAGGTGTTTCAGTCATCAGTGTGGAGTTTTAATGAATGTTTAATCACTTGTTTTTGACTGAAGTAAAGGGTATATTTTCTGATGTAAAAACAAGCAAGACAGTATTCATTTAAAACTGTTAAAACAGCAGATTCTCATTGTGTGTGTGTGTTTGTGTGTTGAAGTGTGCAATAGGCATGGGCCAGAATAAGATTGTGATGGTATAAAATATCATGGTTTTACGGTATTGTAATTACTGCTCCTAAATATGTTCTTTTTAAGTGTATGGAAAAAAACTTTTCCCCTGTTGATCACAGTATGTTTCATTTCAAGAAACATTTGAAATATTTTGGAACAGTAGCTTTTGTTGTGGAGCCTCCTTTTCTGCTGGAGATACTGTTCCCCCTAAAAATGAAATAAAATAGTTGCAAAAAACACATTAATAAACAGAGAAAATGTATAGAATGTAACAGAAAATTCTGGCAGTTTTAAAACCTTGACTTTTCCAAACCACAGTAAACCTTTAAACTGGTCATCATCCTATGGCTATTGAGCACTGTGGGGGATAGGCTTAGGGTTGAGGTTGGGTGTGCACATAAAGAAGTATTGCATGCAGCTCACCTTGCAAGTGCATGAAGTCTGAATCCAGACCCATCTCCAAAATCTAGACATTCACAGATCTTTTTGTCAAATGAAGGGATTGATTCTTTGAACAAAATAGGTTTGAGAATTTAAATTTGATTTTGAATTGAGAATTTAAATTTTTGATTTGAAACAGAATTCTAAGACCACATTGGACAATGGTTTACACTTTTAAAAAAAAAAATGTTAGCACTTTCAATGATCTGATCTCTCAAGTGGTAAACCAAGATTCATTCCTAAATGGGTTTCTTATGATCACTTCTTATGATCACTTGTTCGAGACACTTTCATCACACTCAACGTTGCTTTTGGAGGAGCGCTTTGTTTGATGGATGAGTACTATTAAATGGATGAATCCTTGTTATGTGGCTTTTAAGAAAGCTTAAGGATGAAAGGATAATAAGGAGTTAAAATTGTAGGAAGGTTGATTGTAATGCGTGTGCTTTGGGTTAAAGCAGCGCAGTATGATTTGAGGCTCTGTGATGAAACAATGATGAATGTTCATGTGCATTTTGTCAGTAAAGAGAGTTCTAGTAAACTTCCAGCTAATGCTTTAAAGTAGAGCAACATTTACTGCGCAGAGTTGTAGTTAACTGAGAAGCTACGCAAAATTGTGTTCAAAACCAAATTAATTAAATCGGATAATAATGCAATCGAGATAATTATTCTGTGATAATGGCAGCTGTTTGCGTGCTTCTCTATGAATCACAGCTCTGTTGAATAAATTGTTTCATATAAATACCTTTATTCGAGTGTTATGAATCCCCATGAGAGATGATTCTGTTGTCATATGATTGTTAGAATCAATGAACACAGTTGACTAACTATTAAAATACTTTAACTATTAATATTGAAAACAAAATTATTCTATTATTAATTAATCCCCCTTATGTTGTTCCAATCCCTTGAGACCTTCATGCTAAAAAAGGTAGAAAATTGTCAAAATATTCACTTTAGTAACTGTGATCAAACGGAGCTCCAAAAACACCTTTGTCTGCCACTGAAAAAAAAATTTGCTTTGTCTTCTCTTCAGCATCGCGTGCACATTTATTTAATATGGATAATATGAGGGCTTCTGAGGCCCAGAAGAGGCAACTGGGAAAGGTGGTAATAACAGCAATTGTATGGGGAGACTTGTTAAATGTTAATAATAATACACATTTACAAAGCGATGTAATGCTTTCAGAAAAATCACAATCGATATATATATATATATATATATATATATATATATATATATATATATATATATATCCATGCCTAATATCAGATGGCCAGAAAGTGATATTTTTTATACATTTTTTAAGTCCAGAGACTGATGTGTATACCATGTGTGATAGGACTTTAAAGTGGTCATAAATGAAGTGAATGAATGAATAAGTAGCTGCTTGGACCCAGAAACAGTATTTCATTTGTCACGACTTATCTAGCGGATACAAAGAAAAAGTATTAAATAAGGCTTTCATGATTTTCAATAAAGGCATTCTTTATCATACACTTTTAAATTGTTACCATTAGGTTGTGGACTTTGTGTTACCAGATGCTTAAGAAGTGGGACTAAATTATCATTTATACCTCAAGCAGTTAAGTTTTTAATTTCTTTCTTTCTTAGTAGCAGTTGATGTCCAGTATACTGGATAGTTATTTAGAGAAGGGGAACCATGGTATGTTAGGTTTTTAAATTATTTATTTCTATAAATGCCAAATGAAATTTTGATACGTGGACAAATAATGTTAACTAACTAACTAATGACGCTTGCGAGTTGTGCTGCAGAATCTAATGGGTATTTGTTCAACTGATGCAGTTTCTGTTCTTTTTTTAATAGGTAAAAGTTTTGTATAGTTTCACATGCTCATTCATTCATAAATCATGCATAAATCACTTGTCATATTTAGACAGCATCATCTTGGGTGTCAGAATTACATTTTTGTACAGCTAAAATCACTCTGGTTTGATGATTACCATACATAGTAACATTTCATTCTCAATTAAGTCTAATAACAAACAATTTGTGGTTTCTGCACATTTTAATGGGATAGTTTAAAATTCTGCCACCCCTGAATCATCTTCTATGTTTTCCATATCTGATGAGTTTCTTATAAAGGAAAATATACTGAAGAATGCTGGTGGAAAAAAGCAATTGACTTTTACTATGGATGTCAGTGGCTGGATTTTTCTAACTTTTTTTTTTTTTTTTTTTTTTGAATATCTTGTTTTGTGTTCAACAAAAGTCATAAAAGTTTAGAACAGAGAATCCCAAACTAGGGCCCGCTGGCCAAAGATGGCCCATGGTTGCCTTTGATTTGGCCCACCATCCCATCTGAGAAGAGAGTAAGAACAATAATGTTGGTTTAGAGACTGTCATTTCATATTTTACTAAATCTTTTATTTGTTTGTTTTATTGTTCTGAAAATCGTAAAAAAATGTAATCTTTTCATTTAAAATTAATCAGATTTATTTTAAAATGTGCATACTGTCCACTGACGGTTAGAGGACAACACAGAGACTTTGGTGAGCAAATCAAGGGCAGATTCTGCTTGACTAGTGTATTCAGCATTAAGCTTCAATGTGTAATAAATGGGATTGGTTATGGTTTTGGTTAGGGAGTTATAATAAAAAAAAATTGTTAATACAATGTAAAGCAATGTTTTCCATTTATTGAAAATAATATGAAATGAATTAGGAAATGACCCATGGCAACTTTAATGTAAAATAATTTGCTATATTTATCTTTGGGCAACTGCTCTCAGTGATATTTGGTTTTTGGCCTTTCATACAAAAATGTTTGGGCACCCCTGGTTTATAACCTCTTGAGTGTGAGTACATAGTTAGGAAAGTTTTAGGTGATCCTTTAATGGGCTAAATAAATGTTTAAATGTTGCCTGTTCTTAAATCTTTATTAATTTAATAAGCATCTTAAACTCATAGATTGATGTCTATTTTCTCAACAGGGTCTATGGCTTCTACAAGGGAATCCTTCCCCCCATTTTGGCCGAGACCCCAAAAAGAGCAGTGAAGGTAACAGGAACAGCATTTGACTCCAAGCTTAAACCCATCACTTAAACTATACACACTCTGATCTTTTGCAACCTGGCCTGCAGAGTGTAAACACACACACACACACACACACACACACACAGACCACATATGAATGTCCTCAGCAAAAACACTCATCCCCTCTCTGTGTTTGTCGTCATGCCACATGTGTTTGCTGTTGAAAACTCCCATTATTGACCTACATGGATAGATATTGCTACTGGCCTCACTTCAGTATCATGTATAAACAGTGTGTATATACACGCTTGAGTTTAGATGAGCACTTAGTGTGGCTTTAGGCCATCGGTTATGGGTTCCTCACAATGGCTGTCTGAAAGAAGAGCGAGCCCATTATTTGCTTTCGATTGGTAGACTTAACATGCTTTAACAGTTTAACTGAAAAAAATCTTCACCTGACATGGAAATTCTGTCATCATGTAGTCCTTCTCATGTCATTCAAGTTGTTTGAATGACACTCTTAAAAATAAAGGTTAGTGCTACAGAACCAAGCCCAAATGGCGCATTTATACAGTTTAGTAACCATATTGTGACTCACAATACGTCTAACTATAACATAACAAGGTTTTAAAATTGTTTCTTTATAAATACAGTCATGTCTGCTAATTATATCATTGTATAATGTGTTATGAACATGTTTAATCTGAAATATGTTACTAATAAGTATTAATAATACTATTATAAATGTGGCGATAAAACTGTAATTAAGAAAAATGAAAGGTTTTGTTGTGTCTTTTTAGATATTTTTAAAGAACAGACGTTTATTGAACTGTTATGCATTATAAATGCAGCTGTTATTTATTATGAGCACGAACTTCATGGAAAGTGTTGCCCTGTTTCTCATGGAACCTGAGATTGTTTGTTTATGAAATTGCGATGAATGTGATTTGGCATTCTGCAAAGTAGTCTACATGCAGTTAGTTCAGCATAACCTAAGTATTCTTTAAGCTTTTGTCAAAGAGATTAAAGATTTAATCTGCTGTTTGCTGAAATCTTCCCTTTTTAGTGTAGGTGCAGTCACCAGATTATTGACTGATATGTGAATGTATCATCCAGAGTGAACTAGAACAATAAAAACTCTCTAAACAATCTTTAGCTCTCTTAACTAAAATCCTTGTATCTTATAATATTCTGTTAGTTGGTTCAGAAATGAACAATGTTTTTTTTTTTCAAATTAATTTATTTTATTTTATTGTATTTTATTATTTTTTATTTAGTTTTATTTTAATTTGTTTTACTATATTTTGTTTTATTTTTTAATTTAATTTAATTTAATTTAGTTTAGTTTTATTAAGTTTTATTTTATATGATTGTATTTATTTTTATTAGTTTTTTGTTTTGTTTTTGTTTTATTTTGTTTTATCCATTTATTTATTTTTGATTTATTTTTTATTTTTTTAACATTTTTATTTTTTATTTTTTTTTTTAGTTCTATTTTTTTCATTTAATTTATTTTAATTTGATTTGGTTTTGTTTTATTTTATTTTACTTTGATTTATTTTTTTTATTTTATTTTGTGATATTATATTTAGTTTTTTATTTAGTTTAATTTAATTTAGTTTATTTTATTTATTTTTATTTATTTTTGTTTTATTTAGTTTTTTGTTTTGTTTTGTTTTATTTAGTTTTGTTTAGTTTTTATTTAAATATGCATTTCCATATATAAAAATAATTTTGTCGATTTAATTTAATGCAGATAACAAAATCTCTTCTTGATCTGTTCTTCAGGGTAAAAAAAAAAAAAACACTTTTGTAAAGACTTGAAATATAGGGCACAAGTTGGTGCTACATTTATCATTTTGGAGCTTGACAGCTCCAGTCCTCACTCACTTTGTACTGAAAAGAGTGGCCGGGACATTTTTCAAACCACCTTTTGTACTCCACAGAATAAATAGTCATAAGGATTTGCAATGACATGAGAATGAGTTTAAAAAAAAAGAGTATCCTTAAATAGTGATCCATGAATCCACCTGACGCTCCACATCTGGTGCTTTAAACCAACTGAACAGCATATCTACAGGCCCTGGCCTCCATCAGTCTTGCTGGATGTTTTATTATCTAATATCTGTCAAGCCGAGCGATGCTTAACTTAATATAAAGAATTCTACTCTGCACTGCTAGTCATCTATGTGGGTATTTCTGTTTGCGCAGTGTCATGTTGACAGCTCGAGTGTTCTCATTCACTACAGTTGAGCTGTGTTTGCTCAAGGTGTGAGCATTCATCTTGTCTGCGTGCATTTTGCGTCTGAAAACACTTCCTGACAAGTTATCCTGATCTCTTTTTTTCGCAGTTTTTTACCTTTGAGCAGTACAAGAAGCTGTTGAGCTTTACTTCTTTATCGCCCGGCATGGTAAGTCATCTGATATAAGACACTGTACACACAATCACATTCACAGTCAAGCCAAGCACTCTCCTCATTACATGGCATTCTGGCAGAGAGTGCGAGCTGTAATCGAGACGAATGCTGCTCAGCCAGGCGTATGAGAGATCGCCCATTACTTAGACAGCAGTCTGTCAGTGTGGCAGCAGGCTTGATGGCTGAGCCCAGCGGCGGATCTCGCGTCTTCAGCCTTAAAACCTCCACCTGCCTTATCAATCACACCTGTCTCCGCCTTCTCCAGCTAGAGATGTCAATCCACACACACAGCCCACAGGCACAGGGAACAGAAGAGTGATGTGTGGAGTGTGTGAGAGTGAGTGTGGCAAGCCGTTTAGACGTAGATTCATTCAAGGCTTGTGAAGTCTTCAATTTCATTGACATTTTCAGAAGTTAAAATAAATTTAAAAATTAAGTAAAGCTTTTTTTAAATGAATTTTAATCCAGAATTTAAAATTTGAATTCAAATACACCATAATCTGTTTTTGTTGAAAAAACTTGACATTAACAACACAACAAAACTTGTCATAAATCTGGAATAAACATGACTGTCTTGGGGTCATTATAATCATGTCAAAGATATTTTTTTCTGATCACTTTTTTTCCAATAGAACAAACAATTGTTTTTAAAACTTGTGTTTAAAATTGTCAAGTTATTTTATAAAAGCATCATTAATATTTACAGACATCACCTATATTGGCTACTGTTAACACCAATTTATTGATTACATTTGCTCTGCATCCAAGGACCAGTTGTTTAATACATGATAACTTGTTTTGTACTTGATATGCTCAACTGAAATAAATAGTTTATTTAAATAAATTAGTCTTAAAATTATAGGTGGGCATAGGTTATTTTTTTTTTAATCTAGATTAATCTAGACTATTATCGGAATCAATCTAGATCAATCTAGATTAAAATGGCTCATTTGAATTCTGCCAAAGGCATTCAGAATATGTGTGCTACCCAAATAATAAGTCTTTGAGAACGGGTTTCTCAAGCCAGGTGGCGCATTAGACCAGTTGCTCATCTCCTGTTTCCAAAATGCGTCACAAACAGCTTGAGAAACTGTTCTACTGTGATAATTAGTGATAAAAAAAAATGATGTTCAATAAGATGTACTTGTGTTTACTAACTGTTTATTTAGTTAAGAATACATTTTGAACTGTAGGCCTACATAAGCTCAAAACAGCGCTTTTTGATTACCTTAATTCCAGTCATAACTGAGCTAAACAGAAATGGAATTAAGACATGTGGAGTATGCAGATATTAGTGGATTTATTGAAGTAAACACAGCGATCAACCTATTACCGTCATGTAGGACTTTTCACCATATTTTCCGACAAGATCCACACACGCGTCTGTCATTAAAGGAACGCACACACACACACACACACACACACACACACACACACACACACACACACACACACACACACACACACACACACATCGCAAAATGCGGAAGTTTTATTTAATTTTTTTTCCATTTGGTGTGCGTTATTAAATTCCATAACACTCTCACCAGTCCTTACTCCTTTTTTTTTCATCTAATACCCCAGTTTGTCATGGGGCCATGAATGAAATGTTCACTTTGAGAATAGATTAACGACGATATATTTTTTTTATTGCCCGATAAGAGTCTCACGTTAACGTGCCTATAACAGCCCACCACTGCTTGAAATACCTCCTTTTCATGTAATTTCCTGTTAACATGTGCTAGTTTTTGCTTTATGTTAAAATCTATTTGTGTTTAGGTATTATAACAAATTAAGTCCTAACAACTATATAGCTATTAAAATGGTTTGAGGAAACTGATTGCGGCAAACCCTTTAAGTTGACCAACTTTGTTTGGACTCGATTCGTTTAAGTTAACGGAACTCAGATTTGATAAGTGAACATAAAATCTTTAAGTTACTTATACTCTAAATGTTTGATGATATTAATTCAAATAGAATAAGTGAAGATGATTCAGTATATATAATTTTACAGTACTCAAACCATTTGGTTTTAAAACTCAAACAGTTTGCTGCAATTGTTTTCCTCAAATGGGTTTTACAGTGTATTGAACTGCAGGTTAAGTATGTTTATATAATAACTTTACCTGTTTAAAGCTATCAGTTACTAGTTAATTAGTTAAAGTTATTAGTAATTAATACATTTATGGTAACTAATTATCTTAACATTTCCGAATTTGATTGTAATGCAATCATCTGCACCTTTTGTAAAGCTGTTTTGAAACAATAATTATTGTGAAAATGCTATACAAATAATGTTGAATTGAATTGATATTCAATTTGTACCACTGTAGTCAAGAAACATATTAATGACACTGTTATAAAATGTATGATACAGTTATGACCTTGTGATTATCATGTTTATGACAGGTTTTGTTTGTTTGTCAAGTTGTCACAACAAAGACATCACAAACAATGTGACCTTTGCATTTAAAATATCATAACAGAGCTAATGACACTTAATGACAGTCATCATAAGCATGCATAAAATCTCATACATTCATGACGTGTCATGTTATATTTAGAAAGGTTTCATGACGGTGAAACACCCCTTCAAGTAGTGTCATCACACTTTAAAATTGCTTTCTGTAAATTGAGTTTTCAGCATTTTGTAATTCATGTTTTTCCCACTTATTTATCCTTTTGAATTGCATTATGGGACATTGATCTTTGCATTAAGAGATTTTCATGTTGAAAAGTTGACTTTTATTGAAATTTTAATAGTAATAGTAATATATTTTCTGGGTTGGTGTTTTAAAATACAGTCCAAAAACAAGCTGGCAGTGCATTATTTCTCTATATATATTATTTCTTAAACAATATATATTGTCTCAAACTACTCAAATATCATGAAAAGTCTCTTTGTTAAACCTGCAGAGATGATTTTTCTAAATCAAAAGTGGACAAAGCAGAGATAAAAATCCCACTATACAATTCACAACCATAAATAATAAGAAAACACCTGTAAAACTAGCAGAAATTTAGTTCTTGATAAATTTAGTACAAGTAAAATTTCAGATATCAAGAATTACACTTATTTTCCTATCTGAAATTAAATTACTGATATAAATTCAATTGCTGTGAGAAATAATCTCATTATTGATATCAAGAATTACCATTCTTGCTAGTATAAATGTAATTCCTGATATAGAAAATGTGATTACACTGCAAAAATCTCGTTTCAAGTTCAAATATCTGAAAAAAATCTTAAATCAAGATGTGTTTTCTTGACAAGTAAAAAATATTGTCTTGTTTTAGAAATAATTTGTCAAAATTAAGAGTCTTTTTCTTAAAACAAGTAAAGTAATTTGCCAATGGGATAAGCAAAATCATCTTATTTCAATACGAATACACACATCTTTTGCTTACCCCCTTGGCTGATTGTTTAGCTTGTTTTGAGGAAGAACGCTTATTATTTCTGAAAACAAGAATAGTTTTTACTTGTACATGATGCTTCTTAATTGAAGAACTTTCACATATTGGGACTAAAACAAGACAAAAATTCTAATCAAGAAAGCATTACTTAGCAAAAAAGCAAAAAATCTAATTACCAAGAATTGGCAATCAATGTTTTAAATGTTGCCATTATTGATATCTACTAGTGGATAAAAAAATAAAATGCATTTATAACAGTCAAACTGGCTTGCCATATGTAAGTGAATTCAAGCGAGTGATTGAGCCATATATTTAGCTGAAACAACTGTATGATTGATGAAGACGTGTGCTGAAATATGACAAATAAGAAATGGCTGCCTTTGTAAACACGGTCAAGGAGATGTCCGGTTTTCAGAAACAAAATGAGTAATGAGGCGCACACACTGTCTTGTATTGTATGCACAAGCATGTATACATGCTATGCAATCAGATGTGCATAAAGTGCAAATGTGCGAGTGTAGTGATCTCACACACACACACACACACACACACACATGTGCGTGCACATTTGGAAGGTATTAATTGAGGGTGTGGGTGTGTACGATCCCCAGCTCACCTTATGCAAACACACTCAAACATCTCCTTTGTCACTTTTAAAGTAGGCCTGAAGCCTGCTGACATACGGGTCAAGTGCTTGAATGCAGAGTCACTAATCATAAAGTAAAAATTAACCGCATATTATTTTGAAGCAACATTATTCTATTCAAGCTTATTGACTAAAATATGTTTTGACGAAAGAAGAGATGGACGATTCACCATTAAAGTGACTAAACAGTGAGTATTTTTAAAATAAGAATTTATTTTAAAAATCTTTGAAACATAAAAGCCACTTTTTTAAATGATTCTGATTCACTTCAGGGTTGGAAAGTTGAAGAAATAGTGTTTTTATAAATGTAGGTATTAAGAGTGACATTCAGATGAATCGCCTAAATTTGTCAGCCGCTATTTTGCTGTTTTACTCTAAAAACATTTTGACAAGTTTTTTTTATAAATAGTAAATTCTATTGTGTTGAAATTTAAACCAGTATCTTTTTTGCATTTTTATTCTATATACTTGTATGCCACTGGCCATTAAACCAGGGGTTCCCAAACTTTTCAACTCACGACCCCCAAAGTAACAATGCCAATGTCAGACGACCCCCAATGTTGGTTATAAATATAAAAAAACTTGCACACTATGGCACACTATAGTATATATATATATATATATTTTTTTTTTTTTTTTTTTTTTTTTTTTTTCAGAAAGTTTAACCTGGTGCTATAAAATCTATGTGCTGCATCTGACGCTATTGCTGTGTCTTCAATACAACATAATCACTCTAGTGGTTGCAAAAAAAATCGAAAGGCTAATGACTTCTGATGTAACTTCTGTAGGTTAATAAAATGAAATAATCACCAAGTGAATTCACCAAGCGATACTGTACAAATATTCATATTTTAATAGGTACAAGTCAGAATATGTATACATATGAATAAATGACTAGGCTCCTTCTGTCAGAATTGTTGAACATCTGCCTGGTCGGTCTCTTTGGTCATCAAACCAGAGATTGTTATGTATCAGTCGAGGCTGAAATGCAGGGCTGATAGTTCTTTCGCAGTAGCTGGTCCTAAATTGTGGAATGCTCTGCCCCTCCGCATTAGATCTATATGATTTCTGTCTGTTTTTAAATTTAGGTTAAAAACGTATTAAAATTATGTATTAAAAATTTTGTATCATAAAATGTGTCATGTTTGTTTCATTTATTGTTATTTTAAACAAAATCATTATATATTTGACATAGAAAAAGAATATTTTGCTGATATATTAAAGGACAAAGTTTAAAATCGTAGAAAATGTATTATGTATGTATTATAATTTATGCAATATAATAAACTATATACAATTTACTTATTATTTGATGTATTTAGTATTTCACTTATGATTTGTTTCATTTGTGCATAAATGTAGTTGTTACACTGGATGATTTTTTAACTAATTCCACTCATGTTTTATTTTCACAAAAAGTATTTGACCCATTCATGTACCCAGTTTTACTGAAACTGGTATATTTACATTAAGTTTTCCTGAAAGCTATTTGAAACATTTATGTAGACACTTATAAAGCGGATATAATATTACAGAATGCATGTTTGACACTATATTCTAGTGTAGTAAAGAATCATTCTTTTAGATGTATAATTTATTTTATTGAAAAATAAATCCATAACATATTCATATTGTAAAGTACTAACTGAAATCAAAAACTGTTTTTCATTCAAACACAAAAACTGTGACTAAATAAGCTTAAGCTGGACGTGAAAATGAACACTGCTGTTAATTTGGTGCCATTGTTAATCTGTGAGCATGAAAATATAAAACCTTTTGCTCCTCCAGTCGAGCAGTTATTGCGCCATCTGAAGTCATTTATCTTTGTCCCAGTCATTTTGTCTGAGCCGCTTCATTCATCTCTGATTCCCGTCTGTGTTTCCTTTCTGAAAATGATTGACGACGGCAGTTTTATTCATTCACTCATTCATTCATTTGTGGGTTAAAGTCAAGTTCTGCGTCTATACAAACACGTTCCTGAAAGGCGAAGTGTCACACTAGCATTGTTCCTGTGAGTTATGCCATTTATGTGTGACATTCCTTCAGTGTCGACTGGTCATCTAAAAAAAAAAAATACAGTCTGTTCTGAATTAAACACAAAGGTACTTTCTTTATAGTCTCCGTGTCTTTCTCGTTCGTCATGTGGCTTCATGTTCTCTTGTAATGTAACTCTGCTAGGCTCTGTCTGTGGCTGGCCTGGGGTCAGGGTTAACCGAGGCACTGGTTGTAAATCCATTTGAAGTAGTGAAAGTGAGCCTACAGGCCAACAGGGATTCATTCAAAGTGGTAAGAGGCTGCAGCTGCTAATTGTCATCACGCTATTGTTTTTGGCTTTTGCCTTGTCATAGAGGGTCCTGGTGACGTTGTTTCTGTGTTTCTTCCATGCAGCAACCCTCTACTTTTGCACAGGCCAGAAATATTATAAACACAGACGGCTTTGGTCTCCGTGGGCTTAATAAGGGCCTGACCTCCACGCTAGGACGGCACGGCGTCTTCAACATGATCTACTTTGGTTTCTACTTTAATGTTAAGGATGCCATTCCTGCGAGTCAGGTAAGCAAATTTCAAATTCTTTCATTGATTCACCTTCAGTGTTGTTTAAAATATGAATTATTGTCTTAAATATTTAGCAAAAGGTCTTTCTTTTGTTTTTGTTTCTTAAATGTTTGTATAGAAGAGACATCTTTAGTTCCAGAGTGGACCTTTTGGTGAAAAGATTATTTTTGGCGAATATGTATGGAATCTTTTCTGTCCACAAAAAGGTTCTTTATATTTGAAAAGTGTTTCAGAATATTAAAGGTTTTGTTCAGCCAAAAATGAAAATTCTGTTGTTAACTATTCTCCCTTATGTAGTTCCAATCCTCTGAGACCTTTGTTCATCTGCAGAAGTTAAAGGGATAGTCCACCCAAAACTATACTGACTAGTTACTCACCCTCAAGTGGTTCCAAATTGCTATGAGATTATTTATTTTGTTGATCACTAAAGAAGATATTTTGAAGAATGCTAAAAAACTTAGTCGGGAAAGCAAATACTATGGAAGGCAGTGGTTAAAGGCGTCCTGCTTACTATAAAATATTTTCTTTTGTCGAGAAAGTAAGACTAACAGGTTGGGGACAAATAAAGGCTGAGTAAATGATGATAGAAATGTAGTTTTGGTTGAACTATGTTCTTTAAGATATTTTAGATGAAATCTGAGAGCTCTCTTATCCTATATAGACAGCATTGGTCCAGAAAATTAATCAATTAATTTCAAGCATTGTCAACAATGTGACTTGACTTCAGTCATTCAACTGTAATCATATAAAGCTTCAAGAACACATTTGTGCACTAAAAAAAATATGTAAAAATGACTGTTTACCTTTGTCTACATGTTTATTATGGGCAAATATTTTTATTGTTGTGTGTTGCACTGATGACTGTAATGACATTGTCATACTGTAGTAATCACACACTGTGACCTGAAGGGGAATATAAGACAAAGGTGAACCTAGTTGTTTTTGTAAAGTCCCATAAAATGTTTTGACAATGTTTTTGGTTCTTTTTCTTGAGATGGTTGCTGTCTGTGTAGGGTCAGAGAGCTCTTGGGTTTCATCTAAAATACAAGGGTCAGCAATCAATAACAGAATTTTTGGTGAACTAATCCTTTAATATGTGTTACACTATGAAAAACATTAAATAGTTCCTTTATAAACTGTTCATTTAACTATTTGCTTCTTTGAGGAACCAAAAATGGTTCTACTGTGGCCTTTATTTAGATTTTTTTTTTATTTCTATGAAAAACATTCAAATATTCTACAGAACCTTTTCCTCTACTAAAAAAACTTCTTGTGGGATGGAAGGGTCCTGCAGACTATAGAAATGTTCATCATGTAACCATTTTCAAGAACAATTTAATCTGTAATCAGTTACTGATTTCTAAGTAAGGAATTTCGAAGTAGCACTGAAAGTACAATAAAGTTTGTTCCATATGAATAGAAGTTTTAAAGTCCTGTAAAGCAAACTCAACTCAAGAAATTTGCTGTGTCCCAAAGTTAAAATTTGGTGAGCTTGGCCTGCAAATTCATATTATGTGTGAACAATGAAGAATAAATACATCACAAAATTACCTCTTGGCTGAACTGAAACAAATAAGAAAAAATTAAGAGGAAGAAGTGTGTATGCTATATTTTTAAATTAGGATATATTCAGCCTGATCTTAAAGGAAACACAACTATTTTATGTTTTGTCAGTTTAGTGTCTAATTCATACTAGTTCAGTCGTAGGAAAATGCATGGTTTAAAAAAGGAGGCGTGGCACCCAACCCCACCCCTAAACCCAACTGTCGTTATGGATATGCAAATTCTGCTAAATTGTATGAATGAGATTATGAATGAGATCATAAGAATTAATGCGAATTTGCCACTAAATTAAAAAGTTACGAATGGCCGTGAGATACTGTTGGATATATTAGGTACCACAGAATGTGATGTTATATTATAAACTTCACAGTGTACATCTAGTCCATTTTATGTGTTTGTTTATCTCCACGTTTTGCCGATAGAATCTGAGAATCCTTTTCTTTTTATGTGATCTTTTCAACATATGGTTAGTGACACAGTTGATATTAAAAACATATATAGGCGATTTTATACCCAAGCAAAAATGAATGTTGAATTTTTAATGAATGCATTTCCTGTCAGGGAGCAAATTCCATTTATATTGCATGCATATTTCATCTAGTTATTTATGATGCATAAAGAACTGTATTTATCTGCCATGTGTTACATGAGTAAACCACTTTCTTAAAACTCTTAGTTCAAGCTTTACAACTACAATGGAGTAATGCAGCTTTTCCACCTATACTTTAGAATTTGTTCTGGTTTTTATGAGCAAAATAAATCATACATTTTTACTATGATTTACCAAAGACAGCCACAAAAATGACATTCTACTTAGATAGCAAAGAAAATAAGTCATATCGTCACCTTAGAATTATAAGGTTCTATCTAACCTTTTTTTTGTCAAAATTTAGTTATTTACAAATTCTTATTAAATGACAACTTATTTACATTATGTCATGTTTTTTTTATAAGTTGTTTACATTTTAAGTCTTTTTATTTAAAAAAAACAAAAAAGGTTTTTTTTACAAAGTTGAACTCTTGCTTGGCTCTATAAGGTTCTTTCTGCATGTGAGCCAATCAGCATTTTTAATGTACGCACGAGGACCAATCAGGATCGGCTTTCTTTGTCAGACTGCTCCATTGAGAACGGGAAACACCAGAAAGGAAAAATCACACAAGATCAGAGTCGACTAAATAATGCCGCACCACGCAAAACTGAGATGTGTGTAATGTGATGATTTAAAAGCATTTCTTGACATTGAAATTCATTCATTTTCTTATCGGCTTAGTCCCTTTATTAATCTGGGATGCGACCCATCACTGGGAAACACCCATACACACTCATTCACAAACATACACTATGGCCAATTTTAGCTTACCCAATTCACCTGTAACGAATGTCTTTGGGCTTGTGGGGGAAACCAGAGCAATCCCACACCAACACAGGAAGAACATGCAAACTCCACACAGAAATGCCAACTAATCCTGCCGAAGCTCGAACCAGTGACCTTCTTACTGTGAGGCGATCGTGCTACCCACTATGCCACCGCGTCACTGACATTGAGATGAAATGTTAAATTTTACATTGTTGAAAAAGAAATGAATATTTAAAAAATGTATTTATTAAATGTGAAATATATTTATTCGTTTACATATAATCAGTGAAACACTTTCAGTGTTTATTAAACTCATTTGGACATTGTCTGTTTCTTTTAAAGTCTTTCAATTTAATATTAAGCCTTGAAGGGTAAATACTTAATTTAATTAATAAGGCATATAATTTAATCAATGTCATTCAATAATTCATATAAAGCATAAAATGCAATCAATACTAACATATTAATTAGATAAAACTAACATCTGCACAAGAAAAAAAAATATTTAGCACATTTATTTTTATATATAAAAAATATTTAGGACATATATTTATTCTTGAGAAGTAATGCTTCAATGAATGATCTGCCACATAGAACCTTATAATCCCAAGTGGAAAATGCCTTTTCAGAATGAGAAGCTTCTTTCTGCATTTACCGTGGTTTATTTACTCCAATTTGCTAATGTAAGAGAACTTTAATAATTTACATTTAGAGAACCCTTAAGGTCTCTGTCATGTTAATGTATGAAAGACAAATGTTACACACATATTGTTTGCTATATGGAATCCAAAACCTCAATATCTCAAAATCCTTTAGAACGCAGATAGAACCTTATAATTCTAAGGTGATGATATTTAGAACAAAAATCATTTGATGACTAAATAAAAGACTCACCCAAAAATAAATATATGACATATATATTTTAAATATTTATTTATTTATTTATTTATTTTCCTGTTGGAAACTGGAAAACATAGACTTCCATAGTACTTGTTTGTTCCTACTATAGATGGTAATGGATAGTGGTATTCAACAAGAGAAAAAAAAGAAGAAGAAAAAAGGTTCGGATTTTGTCAAGGGTGAGAAAATTATGAAATAATCTTTATTTTTGGTTGAACTATCCTTTTAAGAATAACAATGCAGCCCTAAAATACTAATTAATTGTCATTTTAAATCATTATACTCCACCACTACCCTTCAAACCTAGGTTTTAGCCGTTTTTCTATCAAAAAGGTAATCATTTACAATTTAGTATGATCACTTATACTTTTACATATTAAAATAAGTACAGAATTTTGTAGCATGTTGTTCAGTGTTGCCAGATTAGGCTGTTTTGAATTTGATTGTAGGGTAAAACATGGCATAGGCAGGTGAACGACATTTAGGGCGGTTTTAAAACGTAAATTTTACATGCACCTTATTTAACAAAACATAACTGTGTGCTCCTAATCCATTCAGTTAGTAGTGACCAGAGCATAGCGCAAACTGCACAGGCCCACCTGCAAGAGGAGTTGAAGGAAAGTTGTATCAAAATCTCCCCAGACAAACCTGTCTCACCTTCATGTGTACGCACATCACACAGTGCCTGCAGTTAAACTCACAGCGGTTTATCATAACACTTATTGTTTTGTTTTTTTTTACCTGCAAACAAACATAGAAGAGTTGCATGATTGACAAGCCGCACCTAACTATGTTCAAAAGATTTTAAAACGCCAAATGAGATGAATATATTTATTAGCCGAAAAGAAAATGAATTATTTAATCTAACATTTTGGCAGGTTTTGGACAGCTTTTAAACAACAATGGCATAACTGATGGCCACACTGATGTTGTTTCTTTAATACAGATATAACTTATTGTACTGAATGAGGATAAATATTTTGTTCGCCCTTATTTTAACATTTCACTTTGACATAATGCATATGACACATTAAAGCAGACCTTTTGCTTGCATTTATGCTCATAAATAAAATCATTTTTGTAAATGTATTTATATGAACAAACCAAAATTTAGACAACTCATCTTATTTATTTAATTTTATTTTCAAATACATTAACATTACAATATAATATCAG